TTAGCCTTTAGTACATCCTTTCTGCAGCCTTATTTTGATTTTGTAAATATCACTTATTCTACATGAATCCAAAAAAGGTCATTTAAAAAAAAAAAATAAAATGCAAAGGTAGGGATGAAACAGTCTTACTGAAAGTAAATATCGGGTAACTATATGGAAAAACTGGTTATTGGAGCAAAAAGGAAAAAGAAAGTCATTTCAATAGAACTCAGAAGTGTGATATTTGAGATGGATATATATGATGTTTTGGGAGACAGATGGGCATGAATCAGGAAAAACAGGCAGACAGGTGAGGGCAAACTTACTCTCCTGGGACATGCTGTGAGAGAGGACTGTCTGCGCAGGGGAAAGACAGGAGGAACAGTAACACCAGTCAGTGGATACCTGGAATCTCTGCAATTGTTCTTTTCAACCCAATGGAGAGGTATAAATAAGAATAAGAGGATACCGATCCGCACAAATAAGTAATTATAAGCAACAATATTAACCCTCCTTATCACAGCAAATGAAGATTTTTACAGCTGTTCTGATGCTGCGAAGATGAGGAATCGGATACAGTCAAATTTCTTAATCAGGCTCAAGATGGCCAAAACCAACCTAATGGCACTAAAATGGTGCTGTGCATTCTCTGTGCTCTCTGTTAGTGCATCATCTTGCTAAAGGATCACCAAGTGTGGAACAAATTTCTTCCAGTGTTCCTTGGGTTCAGCTAAAACTGACAATGCTAATTTCACTCTGAGACTTCAGTATGCATGTTTTATTTTTCATGGCAAAGAAATTCCTGTACCATGGGTTCAAACAATTGGGGTCGATTGCCTTGCAGAACAGTGAGGTCCGGTTCCTCCAAGCTACTTCAGAATACCATGGGCCCATGGGGGAATTAATACCACCACCATACCACAGTGACACAAGAAATGATTTCCCTCCATTTCATCATCTAGCAATGAAAGACTCTTATTAGCAAACAGATACATAATTTCTTTATTCCACCATCTTTTTTTTTTTTTTTTTAAAAAAAAAAAAAGCATATGAATGTTCACTAACAAACACAAGCAGTAATCATGTCAGACTGTTTAAAAACTCAGACACTTGACACCTCCTTAGTACAAAATCAATGTTGTATTAATTAATAAGGACCATCAAAAATAGTAGCCAAGTTTTAGCAGCAAACAACTGTCACATTTTATTATTCTGTATCGTTTTTTACTAATACTCATCTTCCAGCTTCATGACTCTGGGCTCATATTCTTTTCATGCTTCAATTAAAAAGAAGAAGATAGCCAGACCGTCCAGGAAGGTAATGGAAAAGTCTTGTAGGGGGGCTTAGTGGTGGAATTTATGGCTAAATGAAACTTTCAAATATACTATAAAACTTCTGCTTCCTTTGCTTAGTTTTACTTGAGGTCTCATAAGCAGTAATATGTAGAAATGCAAAACTTAATCAGCTAAAAAATAGAGCAAATCCCACATATCATTTTATGCAATACCAGGAGAGCAGAAATATATTTTCCTAACCAGAGAAAATTAACTAGGCAACAGTCCTATATCTATAATTTAAAGCAGTAAAATATGTATGGCAGAAACTAAAGCCACCTTAAAAGAATTCCTGTAGCAGCATATCACAAATTAATGAAATGGAGACATTTTTAGAGCATGCTGCACTGAAGATATTAAAAGGGGGGGGGGGAGAGAGGGAGAGAATATTTCACCCCACAGATAAGTCTGATAAATACTTTTTAAATCAAGCTTTCTTCCTTATTTAAAAGTGCAAGAGCTTGAATATTAGGGGACAGCACACACGTAGTCATTAGCATTCCCAATCAAATCTCAGTGTCAGTCCACAGAGATCAGGGATATTTCACTCTGTCAGTGTGTGTAAATTCCTAATGTGGTCAGAGGAGAATCTGAACAAATCGAGAGGAAGGAATTATGGAGTCAGCTCTTACTTTATTTCTCCTAAAACAGAGCTGAAAGAGACTTAAAATACTTTATATTCCATGCTGTAGCCAAGCTGGGCACTATAGAATATTCAACTACTGCAGGTTTTTTAAATGCAATCAATTTACTGCTGCCAAATGTAGTAGGTTTATATACATCTGGGAAACATGCACCTACGGTGCTGATGAATTTCTCCTGACATTGCACTGATTTCAAGAGAATGTTGTTTTAAATTGGCAGTAGAGAGGCTGGTAGAAAAGGATAAAGCCCTGAGGACGGCTGAATCAAAGAGAATTTCAAAAGAATTTTCCTGATGGTTCTTGGATAATATCACATGTTACCTATTTTCAAAGCCAATAGTTTCCAACGCACTTCCATTTATGGTATCAATAATTAAAAATATTTCTGTGGGAGATGAACTTACTGAGAAGAGAAACTGGAAAGCTATATTATTATAGTAAACAGAGGAGATGCAAAAATCTTTGTCTCCAGGGAAAAGCTATAGAAACAGGGATATCTTATTTGTAACTATTGAGTGGTTACCACAAAACGTGACACACTTGCATGTGCACGTTCGAAGCATTAGAGAACATGATCGCACAGAAATTAAAGGCAGATCAGATTAAGCCACCTGAAAATTTGGTCCTGAAACCTAAAGTCTAGAAGACAAAGTGTAGAGAAAATGTTTTGGATCAAATTCAGAGGCAGAAAAGCTAAGTTTAAAGAAAATTTAAATTACCAAAACTTAAACCTCATTATGTCCCACTCCCTGCCAGCACGTCCCTGCCAGCTACTAATGAATGTTTAAAATCTTTCCCCCACCCCACTGCGCACATCAGCTCTGAACCTGGCATCCCGAACCATACAGCACACTGCAGTCTAATTGTAACTCACATGTCAAGGGGCAAGAAGAAAGGAGTGTGGCGAGAGCATTGATAAATTTAACTCAACATTCCTCCAGCTACTCAGCAGTACGGCAGAGCCGTGAACTCCCTTCCACATTTTACATGGGTGTCAGTTACTTCAAAGGGATATGTTCAAGCATGAGGGAGTCTGGCTCGCTCCCAGCTTATGCATCATTTGTGCCTGGCTTTTTCTGGAAACCCACGGCAAAGCAAAGACTTCCTCCAGTTTGGGGCACATTGTAGAGCTTTCCAGAGCTGCTTTCTTAGACTGGAACAGATCAGCTGTGCACCTTTGTATATGAGACATCTCTTACTCTCTGCATTTCTTCCCTCCTCCAGAATGCCCTGTAAGCTGAATGAGTTCAGCTTACAGATTTATGATGCACACCTGTTCAACTAAACACACAAATGAGCTATTCCACCAGTGCCACGCATACGTGATTCAGTGTTCAGAAGTCACCTGGAGCTAGGCAAGAGGCTCCTCCCTGTTTCAGTGCAGTATGTCTACCTACACAACCACTGGAAGCTGTTTTCAAATACAGCTATTTTGACCAACCCAATTAATTGCTTTGTTGATATAATAAGTTGCTGTATTAAACCCAATGATCTGAAGCAATGGCTACTTACTGCATCCACACCAATACACAAAATCAGTGAAGTCAACCTTTCATTGTACCATTGATGTTGGTATTTAACATTACAAGAAAAGTATCAAAAATTCCTTTTACAGACACGTCTCATATAAGGTTATTCTGTTCCTCAACCTTCCTTTCGTCTTATTTAATCTAAATTAAATTAAATTAAAGAAGTAGGTGGTCTTCGGTGCCCTTATCCAAGATCTGAATGCCTGTTACAATTAAGACACTTAGAGGTCTTTTTTCCCTTTTCTTTCTCCTCTAGAAGCAGAGAATGTTGAAGATATGAAAAATTAAAAAAAAATGTGCCATGCTTGTCCTTGAAGTTACAGTCAGAATAGTGACAATGGCTGTATCACACTGTATTGTTGCTTTTATCAGCAAGTGCCCTGAGCATACATTAACATAATTGCAAACTGCATGAAAAGTGAACATGCAAAAATGTGATGCAATTGCCAATAGCCTCAAACATCTGTCCCAACAAAGTGTTCCTCCTCCTTATTTTAATTCTTATTATTTTAACAAGGTTAGTGAAGGAGAAACCATGTCACAGATGATATCTACATTTAGAGTGTCAGAGCAATTATTGATGCAAAATAGTTATCCAAGCAAATGAGTCACATTTTGTTCACTTCCCAAAACACCTGTTCATTTCCTAACACGTTATTCCCAGCTAAAGCCAGAACTCATTAGTCCCAGTTAAAGCCAAATGGAAAGCTTAATGTGCACATACAGCTGGAAAACTGAAAAAAAAATAACCAAAAGGTAGCACCATTCAAGCACAGTGTATGTCTGGAGCTGGTGGGCAGTGAACTACTATAGCAGCCAACAGAACGAAAGAGACAAAAAACCAGCAATAAACTAATAGCCACCCAGCCTTAACAGTGGAGATCAAAGAAAACTACCCAAACAGCCACCATTTTAATCATGGTACTGAGATCTTTGAGCTCACTATGCCAAAGAGCCCACCACATCCGCAGTATATGTATTTTTAAATCCTCTCAATAGGTAAACAAGAAAGGCTGTTACGGAGAAGATCATTTAGCACCTTTCAAATTTCACCTCAATACTTTCTGTACCACATCAGGATTCTCCAGAACTAAATCTGGACCTCCTGTCTCCCACCACTTGCACACAGGGCCACTGTCCCATTGCTCCCCAAACTGCTCATATTTGCCACTGAGAAAAGCCAAACTCGCATTTCTGTGATAGTCAAACATACATTGTGAATTTGAGGGCATCTGCCCTGCAGACATAGCGCTAACTGTAACCCCAGGAGGCTTAAAGAAATATCAACACTCAAATTCATAGAGTAAAGGTCTGAAGAGGCAGTTCTGTGAACGGATAACTGCCCGGGGCTTTGCCAAGCACAATATAGCTGTCACTTGTTATTACGTGAAAGATTTTCTGGGGAACAGTGTTTTTCATTTTGCATGTCAGAGACTGGGGGAAAAAAAAAATACATTTAGACAACCATCTCTTTAAGAAAAGAGAAGAGAGCCATGCAGCAGAGCTCACTTACCAGGGCTGGTTATTGTCAGAAGGTCAAGCTGCCGTCTCTGCTGAAAAACAAATTATAAAAGGAATTGTTAAAAGGAAACTAATTTTAGTGGGTAAGCTTAGACCTGTGAAGTAAATGTTCTGACATTTATAGCAGAATTAATTACAAGTTACATGGTTCACAGTAACTCTTTTGAATGGGATCCTCACGTACTTTATGAGAAACAACAACAACAAAAAAACCCCAACAACAAGCTCAGTCCTTTTAATGTGTTTTTATTTGCACTTACGAAGTGTTACTATTTCTTCTTCGAAGCATATACTTGAAATGGATAGCTAGAAGCACAGATGGACCGATATACTTATGAAAGCAGTTTCTGATTCCATAGGGAAGGAGACAAGGAACCAAGACAAGAAACCCTAAGTTTTTTATTCATATCAATCACTGACTCATAGCCTGGATGTGATCAAGCACAATTACATTGCCTTGGGGTAAACCTTTCAAAGACTTGTAAGGGGATCTAGACAAATTCAAGACTGATAAAAGGAAAGTTTCTTTTTATTGCTGAGCACAGCTAGCCTGCAGATCGCATTGCCACCAGTTATCCTTCACCCCAAAGCCTGCCAGAATTGACCAGTACTGAATATTTCTACAGATCACAAAATCCAGGGATTTATGATGGCAAATATCAAGTTTAAACCAAATAATTGTTTCTGGAAGGCCTGCAAGCATCCATCACTAGACCATCACTGGAATGGCTACCCCTCATCTCACAAACAGCGTGTTACTGCCTCTCCTTCCCAGCTTTCTAACTTTCTGTCTTCTCCCTAACTTTGCCCATCATTAGTGTGTATAGCTGGCATTTCAGATTACACTGTCCAGTTTAATTTCTCTCTCCTAATCTGCTCAATAATGTCTGTGTTACTTTCATTTATTGTCAGTCCTATTGATCTTTCTCTAATCTAATTCTCATCATTACATTCACTGTATTCTCTGGGTGACAGCTTAAAGTCCTTGAGGAAGAAACACTGACTTGGTACTCCCTACAGTGAATGTTCATCCCTGGAAATTACAACTGATGAAACTCCTTTCCAAACTCATTGTTTCTCTGCAAGTAGAGCTTCACTGGCTGAAGTACGTGAACACAGCTGAGCACGTACTGGATATACTTACATTGCAAACCCAAAACTGAATTTGGCCTTCTGGGAAGCTAAGTGAAGTGTCAGGCTGAGAAAAACACATTTTCTGAATCACTGCTGGCCTTCAGTACCTCTTGTACAGTGGAAATCACCTTTGAGAGAAACCTAACTCCTGTCTGCTTCCATAATTATTCCTTTTTTGCTTAACTCTGACAAGGCATTCTGAGTATGATTTTAGCAGTATGCTTGATATTTGATTTCTTATAAAACACTAAGGCCAAACTAAGACAAGCATGCCAATGTAATGGTAAAATGGAGCAGAAGAACGTGCCCCATTGCCTTGTGTCTCCTCCACAAGAGCCATTCAGAAATGTTATCCCAGCTCTACTGAGTTCTGCTCGCTCCAGACTTCTCCCAGAGAGCAGTAATGCAAAGTAAGCAATAGTACAAATGAAGGACCTGCCTCCCCAGTGGGAGCCATAAGAAGAAATGTCTCCTAATGAGTCGAATTTTATATAGACTCTGTGCCTTAATCCTGAGTCACACGTATAAAGCTATGAAGTGCTAGGACTTAGCACCCACTGGGCCAAAAGCTTTGCTTACATTTCTCATCACAACTGGAACTCCAAACGCTGTATATCTAATGAACAGCTAGAGCAGAAAAGTAAAAGCTTCTCTACTGGGAGGAAAAAAAAAAAAAAAAGTGGAATATAAATAGTCTACATTAAAGAAGGTTGCAGACCATAGAGTGTTTGAAAAGAGAGAAATGCCTGTATAGCCCAACTGGCTTCCAATCCTGACCTAAAGCTGTTAGATAGGTTTAGAATAAGCACTAAATAAAAACCTAAATTGCTTAACTCAATACTGCAAGAAGATAAAAGCATACAGAATAGGCTAAACAACACATGAAACAAAGTGAAACTTTTCTTTCTGATAGGATGCTGCCTTCAAACTGGCCTTGGAAAAAAAAAAAATAAAAAAAAAAATTAACTACAGGTCCAGGAAATCTTTGTGTACGTGTTGAACTTTAAGCACAAGTTATTTCTCTGACTTCAAATGGAGCAGCACTGATATTTCACATCTACCACCTAAATGCTGCAAGGACTTTGAAATGCCACCAGGCTCTTGGCCCTGACTCCATGCATGCACTCTGAGCTGCAGCTCTGTGCTGACTGCCTGACCTGTGCACCCAGGAAATAAAAATTCCTCTACTCTGACCTTCAGCAGACCTTGAAGAAGTTTCTCTCATTTAGCACAGCCAGGGAAGCTTGCACATGCTCACCCAAGCCCTGGAGAGAAGGAAACAGCAAAACACATCTCAAAATCATGCATTTAAACATGCAAAAATGCACTAATTATGGATCCAATCACTTTCCGGAAATTCAAGCCTGCTCTCAGATCTCAGGGGCTAACTCTCTGCGGTTTCCAGGGCTCAGCTGGATGCAAGCAGACTAGTAACTATATGATTTTTTTTTTTTTTTCATTTCTACTGGCACACTTATGAGTAGCTATAAAAGCAACAGAATTGGGATTTAAAGAGAAAGGCATTACACAAAGTGTCCACAGTTAATAAAATAATTGCATCAGAAATATCATGGCTGTGGGGCTTGATATATCCTCTTCTCCCTTCAGTGATGAAAGCTGCCACTTGCAGCTGTTACCCCCTTCTAGCATGATCACCCTTTCCCTGTTTTGACAGATTTCTTGAAAGACTCATCTCAAGATGTCTGGCTCCTTTTTCCTTTGCCTTTAGTAATTTTCCACTTCTCAGACACCTGCCCCTGCAGAGATACTTGGGGCTATCCCAATCTTCAGGCAACCTCATGTCCCAAGAATTACTACCGGAGCACTATAAAATATAATGATTATTATTTCTAGTCTGAGAAGAGGTGACAGTGTTCCATGTCACTAATGCTGTGTTTCACCTACGCTGGGAAAAAGGCACTCCACAAAGGAAACAAACAAACACACACGCACATTAAAATGATTTCCACAGCATCAACCGTAATGCTAAGTGGAAAACAGAAATATTCCCTTTATCATCACCGTATCTCTAGTGCTATAATCCTGTGCTACCCGTAAGGGGCAACATTCTCATTTTCATTTTGCTGGTTATTTGAAAGCCCAAAGGCACGAAGAGGCCATTGGTGATTCATACTGGCTTCCCACTATGTGCGTTTTTCCATCATTGGTAGTATCCAGAGGCACAGTCCCTACAGCACAGGGCTCTGCAGCAAACCTGCAGCAGATCGTGTTCTCTTCCATAAAATTAACAGTCTTTAATTAATGCAATAAGCACTGATGAGTAATAAATCATATTAAAATACAAGGAAGGCAAATTTTTAATACATTAAGCATTGATTCACTCAATAAATATTAATCTATTAAGCATCGAGAATTAATTACATTTAGAAAAAAAAGTTTAAAATCCTAGCTGGTGATCTGGTCTAAAATGAGCAGAACGGTCCCTGTTCACCCATAATATGCACTTATTTTTAACTAATTCTGTAATTTATTACATGAAATAACTTGCCTAACAGCAAATCTGGAATATTATTCTATTGCCATATGCAATTTTCTCGACAGATTCTAACTCACTCCATATATTACTCCCTAAATTTCTCCTCGCAGCTCCCTTTTTGAGTATCTCCTTTCCCTTCCTTGATGCTCGTGGTCTTTAAAACACTTGTCGATTGGTGTCATTTAATTTTCACCTCAATTAGCTTAGTGAGAGTTGCAAAACTAGAAAAAAAAAATGTGTGCGTGGGGAGAGAAATTAAATCATTTATTTAAGTTTAGCTTATCTATGAGATGCTCTTTCACACACTGCTCTCTGCAGTGCTCCTCCAACCTTTTACATAGATGTGGGATGTGCTGCAGTTGCTCTGACTCTTATCTACAGATTAGCAAAAGAGAAGGAAAAAAAGCCAGATGCAAAGATGCCCCATGAGACTGATATGAGCTGTTTCTGTAGCAACCGATGATTTTCTTCTCATGTAAGAATGAACTGTGTCATATCTAATTCTGAATGTATCTGGGCCTCACTTGCCAGCCAAAGCTGTGTCAAGTATAAAGTCAATATAGTTAGAAAGAGTGATAAAAAAAAGCAATTATAAAGTCATCTTCATCCTCCTACACTCCTCCTCTAACCAGGATCCAAAAGATATCCTTGCCCCTGCCTTCAGCCCTGGAACATCACCTCCAAGCACCCAACACCAAGCAAAGATAGGAAGCATTTCACAAAAGCAGCTCCTCTGCTGAAAGCTCCCTTGTTCATCCCATGCACTCTCATCCCAGGAGATGGCAGTGCTCTGAGAGGGGCTCCCTAATTGATTATCTATCTGTCTATCTAAAAGCACAGTTTTATATGGGCCACGACAAATCTCCTAAGATGAAATCAACTTCATCTTCAGAAAGCTCTTGTTAGGTCTATGCCACTTTGTTCTGAAGGCAGTGTTCCCTGCAGATCTGAACCCAAGGGCAGGCTGCTATCTCACCAGTGTCTCCTCCCACAGTTTACCCACACAAAGCTGGAATTGAGACTCTGTGAGCACAGCAAGACTTTGTCTTTCTAAACGTCTTTTATCCAGACTGGTCTCTTCTCTCGATCTCTTTCATCCCAATTTAATGTGGTTTGAACGGGTGTTCTCTTTGTACCACCTTTAATTTACAATGCAATTCAATGAGTTTAAAATTAAAATCAAATGCATGATGACTTTTTGATTTACAACAAGTTGTTGGCATTTTTGTCTTTTCTAAATTAATTTCTAAAATTTGAATTCTAAGTCAGTTTTCTTCTTCTATAAACAGGCAGTGATGACAAGAGAAATTGTAAGCCATGAAGGAAAGGTTTAGGCTGTACCCTATCCATTTGCATTGCCACGAGATGGGTAATGAAGGCTTAAAGTAATGTTAGAAGAAA